TATCATGATGCTGTCTATTGATCCGTTGTGAGGACAATTTTCATTTTCTTCACATTCAGGTGTGATCCATACTGAAGGCTGTAGTCTTTGACCTTTATAAGTAAGTACTTCAAGTTGTCTTCATTTTCAGGAAGCAAGGTTGTGGGGATTTTTCATAAATGCCCTTTTTCAGGTTGAAGAAGTTCTCTTCTATTCCTAGTTTGCTTAGTGTTTCACCCTGAAAGTGTATTGGATTTTATCAAACACTTTTTCTGCATAATCAAGATGATCATGTGGTTTTATTCCTTCACTGTACTCATTTGGTGTATTACATGTATTTATTTTCTTATGTTGAACCACCCTTGCATTCCTGGGATAAATTCCACTTGAACATCATGCATAATCCTTCTAATATGTTGTTGGATTCAGTTGCTAGTACAGTATTTAGCTGAAGACTTTTGCACCTATAACCATCAGGGATATTGGTCTGTTGTTTTTTGGTGGTGTCTTTTTTTGGCTCTGGTATCAGGGTAACACTGATCTCCTAGAATAAGTTAGGAAGTGTTCCCTCCTCTTCTATTTTTAAGAAGAGTTTGAGAAGGACTGGTGTTAATTCTGCTTTAAATGTTTGGTAGGACCACTGAAGCCAACTGGGCTTGCATTTTTCCTTCTTGGTGCTCACTAAGCATACTGATTGTACAGATCTGTGTCTTTTATCAAATTTGGGGAGTTCTTGGCCATGACTACTTCAAACATTCTCTCTGCCCTTTCTCTCTCCTCTCCTCTCCTGGGATTCCCATTATGCAAATGTTGGTGTCCCACAGATCTTTTGGACTCTATTCATTTTCTTCATTCTTTTTTATTCTGTTCTTCAGATTAGATAGTAACATTGGCGTCACTGTTTCTTCTGTCTGCTCAAATGTACTATGAAAATCTTCTGGTGAGTTTTTCATTTCCGTTATTATACTTTTTAGCTCCAGAATTTATTTCCTTTCAATAATTGTTACATCTGTTATTGATATTCTCTATTTGTTCGTACATCATTCTCCTGGTATCCTTTAGTTCTTTGTTCATGATTTCTTTTTAGCTTAACAGATGATTTAATGCCTTTCTCAAGCAAGTGTAAAGTCTGTATTTCCTCAGGTACAATTTCTGTTAATTTCTTCTGTAAATGGGTTACGCTTTGTTTCTTTACATGCTCCATACTTTTTTGTTGAAACCTGGACATTGTGACTATTATAATGTGGTAAGTCTGGAAATCAGATTCTTCCCCCGCCTCAGTTTGTTTTGGTTGCTTGCTGTAGGCTGTAGCTATATGTCTGTTCAATGACTTTTCTAAACCATTTTTGTAAATCCTGTATTCTATGTCATACATGGTCTCTGAAATCTGTATCTTTAGCTTGTGTTAAGCTAGTGTTTTGACAGATTTCTTTAAACATGAGTCAAAAAAAAGAGAAGAAAAGAAATAAAGAAAAAGAGGAAGAAACAAAAAACAAAAGTAATCCTATTTCCAAAAATATCCTCTCACAGTCTTTGCAGATTAGCTGTGTCCTTCAACTTTACCCCTCCATTTACAACTCTGTTGCAGCCTTCACTTCCTGCTTGCACTGAGACTAGAGCTCAACCAAGAGTAAAAGCTAGGGTCCTTTCTGAGCGTGCATCCTGCCCTGGGCATAGGCATGGCTTTCTAAATTGCCCAGTATACAGAGTGCTTTTGAATGCCCTAATTTCCCAAAGAAATTCTTCCCACCTCTCTCTCCCAGGTTTCTGATGCTCTATTGTATGCCTCAACCATTATCTTTTATGTATTGTTTCCCCTACACATTTAAGGAATGCCTGCAGCTTTTCTGCTTTTCTGCCCTGAATGAGGTCCAAGTTAAAGAAACAGGGACAAGCCCTTTGTGATGGTCCTTCTGGTAGCCCCCAGATAGATTAGAACAGATAAACTCAATTCTTTGACAACAGGATCCGCTCTGATCCCTCTGGAACCAGGGACTAGGGTCTCAAGGTAGAAATGCAAATTGCTGTCTTCAAGGATACTACCGAGCTGGTAAGGCAGTTGGGGCAAGGGCAAGTAAAAAATGCCATAAAGCTTTCCTATCATTTTTTAAGTTGCCTATGCCTTGATTTGGAGCTCTGGTGGCACAGTGGTTAAGAACTCAGCAGCTAACCAAAAGGTTGGCAGTTCAAATCCACTAGCTGCTTCCTGGAAACTGTATGGGGCAGTTCTACTCTGTCCTATAGGATCGCTATGAGCTGGAATCAACTCAACGGCAATAGGTTCAGTTTTGGTTTTTTGCCTTGACTCAGCATTTGCTTTGGTGGTATAAAGGTTTGACTGTTCTCCAAAGTTCTGACAAAGTTGGTTGTGATAGTTTCTGCTTGATTTTTCAATATTTCTGTGGAGGGATGGGCACTTGGAACTGCCTACTTCACTATTTTGCTGACACCACTTATTTTTTGATTAATACAATTATTACATCAGAAACAAATCTCTGCCCCGCCCAACTACCACAATTAAAACAGCTGAAAACAAAAATAAGCTAGGAACTATACTATACTCTTAAAAAGGCAAAATATATTACACCTAATTTACCTGGTCATTATGGGAATTCTTCTTGCCAGAATTAAAGCTTATGTTCTTTTCTGCAACTCACCTTCCTCCCACAATGCCACTATTCAAATATCAAAGCTTTCTAAAAAGAAATTTTTCTATTCAATGGAGAAAAAATAGCCCTTTCAACAAATGATTCTGGGACAACTAGACAACTCCCTGCAAAACAAAGAAGTTAGACCCCTATCCCACACCATACTTTATGTGAAAATGGATCAGAGACCTAAGTTAAGGGCTAAAACTGGAAAGCAACTAGAAAAAAGCATAAAAGTAAATCTTCTGTAACCTTGGATTAACTGACAGTTTCTTAGATACAACACCAAAAGCATAAGCAATGAAAAAAAAAAGTAGACAAACTGGACTTCATCAAAATTTATAACTTTTGTGCATAAAAAGTCACCATCGATAAAATGAAATGAGAATCCAAAAAGGGAGGAAATATTTCCAAATCATATATCTGACAGAATACTTGTATCCAAAATACAAAAACAACTCTTGTTGGTGTTGTTGGTAGGTGCCGTTGAGTCGGTTTTTGACTCATAGTGACCCCAACTGACAGAGAGTAGAACTGCCCCATAGGGTTTTCTAGGCTATAATCTTTACAGGAGATCACCAGGTCTTTCTCCTGTGGTGCCACTGGATGGATTCAGACCACCAATGTTTTGGTTAGTAGCCAAGCACTTAACCATTGTGCCATCAGGGCTCCTTATAAAGAACTCTAACAACTCAATAACTGAGAGACAAATAACCCAGTTAAAAAATGGGTAAAGGATCTGAATACACATTTCTCCAAAGAAGATATACAAATGGCCAATAAGCCCATGAAAAGATGTTTAATGCCATTGGTCATTAAGGAAATGAAAATCAAAACCTCAATGAGATACCACTTCACACCCAGTAGGATGGCTAAAATGAAAAGACAGACAATAAAAAGGGTTGGTAAGGATGTGGAGCAACTGGAACCCTCACATACTACTGGTGGAAATGTAAAATGGTACAGACACTTTGGTAAACAGTTTAGCAGCTTCTCAAAATGCTAAACATAGAGCTGCCTAGCAGTTTTACTCCTAGATATATACTCAATAAGCAACATATGTTCACGTAAAAACACGTACACAAACGTTCATAGCAGCATTATTTCTAACAGCCACAATATGTAAATGACCCAAAAGTCCATCAACTGATAAATGGATAAACAAAATGTAGTATATCATACAATGGAATATTATTTTGCCCCAAAAAGTAATGAAATACTGATCCATGCTATAATATGAATAAACCTTAAAAAACAATATGCAAAGTGAAAGAAGCCAGTGACAAAAAACCACATATTGCATGATTCTATGTATGTGAAATGTCCTGAATAGACAAATCCATAGAGACAGAAAGCAGAGTAGTGGGGGGCTGGAGCTGGGGCTGGGGGAGAAAGCCAAAATGGGGAATGACTGCTAAGGGATTTGGGGATTCCTTCTGCAGAAGTAGAAAATATTCTAAAATTAGATAGCTATGATGGTTGCATAACTCTAAATATACCAAAAATCACTGAGCTATATACTTTAATTGGTAAATTTTATGGCATGTGAAATAAATCCCATTACACTGTAAAAAATACCATTTTTGACGGGATTCTCTCTGGGATGAATAATTCATTGTACATATTCACATGTAAACAGAAGGTATTAAATCCACGCTAAACCTCTTCATTTTTAAACAGACTCTTAGATTATTGTGAATACCAATTACTAAACTTAGTTTTAAAGTCTCTTCTCTCACTGTCATAATACCTATTTATAATAGCTCCACCTATCGGTTTCCTGAAACATCGCTTCTTTTCTATTACAGACTAGAAAACCAGATAAACAAGCTCTTTAAGAACATAGTTAATGTAGGGCTAAAACCCTGACTGAAGGTTAAGGAGAAATGTGCATGTTACCAATCTGGACCATGGCATTTTAGGTGCTCAAAAGCCTTTTTTACTGAAGTATAGTTTAAGACCTTGGTACGATAAGTCTGACCTTCATGAGTGGGTTTAAAATAAAGTACACAGATTTTTGGATAAAGTGATACTATGCTTCAGAGAAAATATGTACATAGCAGTTGGGTTTCACATGTGTTTAAGTACACATGCATTATACACAAAGTGTAACAGAGGACTGCGTTACACAATTTTATGTGTGTGTGTTTGTGCACACGTGTGTGTGTATGCTCAAACATCTGGAGTAGGAATAAAACTCTACCCTAAAATTGGACACATTATCTATTATAAGAGAATGAATTAGATACCATATGCAATCTGATAATACTATTCTCAGTAACTGAATCAGGACACATTTCCTTTTTTTTGTTAATTCTAAAATGTTGAATGTATTAAACAACTGCTAAATAGGATTGAAAGTGTCTTGCTAACCTCTTACAGTAAGTTTGCTGTATAGCTGCGAATTCATTTCCTTATCTCGCCGGAAACGTCGAAATTCATCAATTGCTTCCCGCATGATAGTAACAGCCAAGACAAATCCCTATAAAACAAAATAAAGTATTTGAGAAAACTGACTTAAAGAAAGCAAAATTTTTTTTACCATTTAGATTTACTTTTTTCTTTGACTTATATTACTCTATAAAATATAAATGAAAACAAAGAAAAAAGACAAAAAGTAACAATGAAATACCACAAAAAGAATACACAGTAAAAGTGTTACAGCTCTCCGTATACTCACGAAAATTTTCCAAATTTCCTATCACAATATGTACTTCAAGGTAAACATCACCAACGCAAAGAAGAAGAAATTAACAATCTTCAATAAACCCATGAATTGTATTTAGAGCATTCAAGCTTTCAAATACCAAATTAATAGTGACCAACATAAAAATCTTATCTTTAATATCTGCACTTAAACCTTTCTGATAGAATAAATCCATTTTGGCATACAAAACAACTTAGCAGATACAAGGACCTATGCTGATGGATTTTCTTAAACAGTGCATTTTTACGTAACAGCGTTTGCGAGCACAGGTATAATTAGTGTTTTTTCTCTCATTTTTAAAGTAAAAGTCTAGATTCATTTGACACTATTTAAATAAAACTTTAATCTACTTCTAATTTATTGTAAAACCTGTTACACCACTAATAAGTAACTAATGTCCAACTTTTTAAAGGCCGCATACACATTTTCTTACACACGGAACTCGAGTCACTCTCCAAAGGATTAAATAAAGAAGTGGGGTTCATATTACTGAGAGCCTTGCTTCAGCCTACTCAGTAAAGAACTGAGCACAGGATGGTTTTCCACTAGAAGGATCCCAAAACCAAACGAAACTCATTGCCGCAATTCTGACTCACAGTTACCCTACAGGACAGAGCAGAACTGCCCCATAAGGTTTCCAAGGAGCAGCTGGTGGGTGTGAACTGCCGACCTTTGGGTTAGCAGTCAAGCTCTTAACCACTGTGCCACCAGGGCTCCACAGTAATATCTTACTCTAATTTTTTTTTCCCCTGTATAACCAACAGACTAAGTGGGACACTAGCAGATATGTTTCTTCTATTTACTCAAATGAGTCTTCTCAAGTGTTTTTCTTTAGATGGCATGATGCATCTGTCTACTCAAGTCAGAGGATGCCTACTTCTTTCCCATTCAAAATCAACCCAACAACCTGTATCCTCCACCCCATTCTATGCCTCTGTTCACTCTTCAACCACAATTTCTATGTGTTCTTTTTCCCTAATTATAAACATCTTTAAAACAGTTTCAATCCCTCTTACCAAAGAAACCTCCCCTTGACCACCCCCGTCATCTTCACTCTGTATGCTCAGGTTTTCTCCTTCCTTTTGCATGCAAACTAGTCAAAGTAACCATCTATACTTGGCACCATCTATGCTTCTCTCTTTCCATTCACTTCTCAGCTTGCTACAGTTTTATCTCCACCACAAGTCTACTGAAGCTATTCAGAATTAAGATGGCCCAACACAAAGATACTCTTCCTGCCCCCTGCTGAATGATTCCTTGTTCACCCTGCCACTCCTATGTTTTAAATTCTCCAGTCTCTTTGCTTCCCAACACCACACCCTCCTGGTTTTCTTCAAATCAGCTGATGGTCCTTTTTCTGATGCCCTCATGCACTCCTCTTTGTCTGGTCATCCCTTAAATACTGGTGTGGGAATCTGGCCTCAGAACACTGCTCTCCCAATGCTACATTCACTCTGTTAGCCATCATATTCACTATTTTCAGGACATAACCATCGCCTAGCATAATTTCATAACTCTCTCCTCTCCCTCAATTCCTACTACCAAGCCCTGATGATTCTGCTTCCCAAATCTCTCTCAAACCTGGACCGCTCTCTCCCTGCCACCACCGGAGCCTTGTACAGGCCCTCTCTTTTCTCACTTAGATCACCATTCCAAATCAGACTCCCTGTCTCCATTCTCAGCCCCTTCAAAACTGTCCTTCCACAGTTATGCAAGTATCAACCTACAATGAAAACTGACAAATAGGTCATTCCCCTCAACCTTCAGTAACTGTTGTTGTTAGTTGCTGTCAAGCAGATTCCAACTCATGGCGACCCCATGTGTTACAGAACTGCTCCGTAGGGTTTTCTTGTTTGTAATCTTAATGGAAGCAGATTGCCAGGCTTTTTCTTCTACAGTACTGCTGGCTGGGTTTGACCCACCAACCTTTAAGCAGGCAGTTGAATACAAACCATTTGTGCCACCTATGGACCTTTCAACCCTCAACTGAAAAAAAAAAAGTTGCCATAGAGTCAATTCTGACTCATGGCAACCTTCAATAGCTCCCCATTATCTGGACTCCTTACCCTACAGTCTTCAGAATGGATAGATCTCTAGCCTCATCACTCACTCAATGCTGCTTTACTCTCTACACCAGGGGACTGTCAGCAGAATACTAAAGTGCCATGACACATTCATCTGGTCCTGCCAATGTACTTCTAGTGGTTGCCTGAAGCACTCTATTGACAAGTATTCTAAAGCAATACTTGGGCACAATGAAAAAGGACGCCAGACATGTCCCATTTGCAAAGGCAGGCATGGAAATGTAAGTGCTGAGTATTTGTGGTCAGCACACCTGAAGATAATGGCTGACAGGCAGTTTGACCCTCACTGAAGTCCTTCAGCATACATTTTGTTTTTTATAACAGCTCTGTTGAGACACAATTCACGTACCCTAAGATTCACCCTTTAAAGTATACAACAGAGTGGCTTTTAACATTTTCACAGAGTTGTGCAACATCACCATCATCAAATTTTAGAACATTCTCATCATTGCAAAAAAAAATCTCATACTCATTAGCAGTCACTCCCCATTTTCCCCTCTCCCTAGCCACTGACAACCACTAACCTGCTTTGCTTCTATGGATTTCCCTATTGTGGTGAAATGAGCTCCTTTATGTGGCCTTTTACCTTGGTTCTTTGGAAAAACCACTTGAGAGACTTTTCCCCTAAGCCCTGAAGAGTTACCTTTGCCCTAGTTTTCTACTTCAGAGGGTTTGTTACTTTTGCCCAGGTTCACTGACATTTTCTGGGTAAGCTATAAACAACTTGTGGTTTGATCCTTTTTGTCTGACCCTGGGCTATAGCACGCACAGTGATTGGTAAGTACCTTGCAGGAATTGGTCAATAGATTATGCAAATGAGGTATCTATAGCCTACTATGCAAATGCGTCTATAGCCTACAGAAAAGGGATTGGTTAGTTTGTGCCCTTCCCCGACTTGAAATTGACAAGGACTTGTGTATATAAGCAGCCACCACCACAGAGGTTTTTCAGACAGAAAGAAGCAGAAGGAAGAAAGGAGAAAGAAGCAGGAGACAGAGACAGAGAGAGAGAGAGAGAGAGAGAGAGAGAGACAGAGAGAGAGAGAGAGAGAGAGA